CTCAGAACAGTTATTTGTGCTGTTGTAGATATATTTAGAGCATTTTCATTGTTTGCAGTTGATCCTGAGAAAACTTTTTTTTTTTTATCAGAGCTGCATTCAGTTCAAGATTTGAGGTTGACCCAGAAAAGTTTCATGCACACTGATGGTGTCGTCCCATTTCGCAATTTCTGGGTGAAAAATCTTTTGGTGAACAGTTCTGAAAATGGTCTTGGACTAAACAAAGCAGATACCGTAGATAAAGGCAGGCAGAGAATAATCGGTGGGAATGATCGTAACTTTTCCAGCGTTTAGTGGTTGAGAGTGGTGGAGAGGCAGCTGGGAGCTGGCACAGCCTCAGTGGGAGGCAGCCCCCCCCCCACAGCCTGATCTTTCCACTGAAGGTTAATCACTGCACTCGGAGCCTTCATGTCTTTTGAAAACACAAAAAGAGATGTTGACTCATGAGACGTATCGATACGCCGCATTTTCCCAAGAAACTGTCATCAAGGCTTTCAGTTTTTTTGACTCCCAACTCACTGTTACTGAAGCTTGAGTAGCAATTAGTTTGACATTTTTAAACATAGTCATTGCCTAATTATTTTGCAATAAACTCCTTCAAATAAGTACCTTTGAGACTGAATATTATCTGAAGAACCTGTGGCTGGGATTGCTCTGCAAGCAGTTTTTTTTTTTTACCTGTTCAGAGAACATCAAAGGAAAGTCACGCTGTCAGGAAACCCTGGTGACATATTTACACACACACACAAAAAGAAAAAATGAATATGTATGAGCATATATCAGCTGAGGGACTATTGAGGAAATTTCAGCATGGAATTTCAACACAAAAACTTTAAAAAAAAAAAAATGTTTCGATCCTTTCCTGGTGATGCAGAGTGAGCTGCATCCAGAGCTGTGAGGCGGTCGGATATGGTGATGTTGGACAGAAGCCTGCTTTTGTGGGGATAATGTCACAATTGTTAAGAACATGCGTTGGACGAATTGGAATCAGTGGAATTTACTTTCCTATGCACTTGTATGCCGTGTATGTCGTTTTTTGGCTCAGAATTCGATCTGAAGAATGAGTAGGAATCTTTGCAAGGCCATTAGTTTTGTTTTGTTTTTTTATGTTTATTTTTTTTACAGCCTGTGTCCAACCAGTTACTCTGTGCCAACGAGCACATCATCTGGCCCTAGGCCGTCCATCAATCTATAGTTAGGCAGCCACATGTACTACCTCTCTACTCCCACTAACCCGTCCATCACAGGTCACTGACCCAGCATCACTGACATTAATAAAGCAGAACAGGGACACAGTAACCTCATCCGAACCCAAGCTCCACATTATTCCCCACACATGCTGATTGACATGAATTCTTTTTTATTAATTCTCCCCTAACTTGGTTTTAATGAAGCGATTCCTCGTTGGACTGGAACTGAAACTTTCATTTTCTCTTGGTGGTAATTTTTCACATGCATTTTAATGGGAGACCTTAATTATAGTGGGAAATATATATTTAAAAAAAAACATTTGATCAAATGTATGGGAATCAGAAATACTTTAATAGTCCCAGAGGGAAATTATTTGTCTTATTATTTATATTTGTATATATTTATTTAGCGAAACCTCTGTCACTCCTAATAATGTAAAAAAAAAAAAATCTATAAAAATGCACATGTGATGAGAAAGGGAGGTAAAAGGCACCCTCTGATGTTCTTTTTGAAAAGCTAATAGTTTTATTAGGTGGAGGAGACTCAATCAGGATTTGGAAAGTAATATTTTTAATGTTTTTCTTTCCATATGATGGATTTATATGTCCATCGAAGAGCAAATTATTAAGGGTTTTGGACAATTCTTTGACATCAGGTGTTCCCTGTCAATATCTTTCTTTTTCTCAACTGTTTAAAGTCATAGATCTTTCTGTGCTGGACATATAGCACATTAAGGTTTAGCTCTCAGTGGTAACTCTTGCTGGGCATGTCTGAACATGTTTGAGATGTAGCGGCTCTGTGGTCCACTGTGGACTCAGTTTAGTGGTAAAAACTGTGGAATTAATTGGCTGAGTGTTGTACAGATTGAAAAAAAAGGTAATTTTTGATTATTTTATCTTTTTAAAACAAATCTTCTAGAATTTAGATTAAAACAGGCTTGCACAAGGCTGTGTTTTGTCTGTTGGATTATTATTTAATGAAACATTAATGCTTAAAGCAGAGGAGAAAAATAAAAAGATGCAGACGGACAATTTTGATGAATTTTAAATAGCTGGAATAAGGTTTTGATTTGCCTTTTCCTTTATTTTTAGACATTCATATTGAATACCAATGCTCATGATCTCTGGATAAGTGGAATCATCATCCTCATCATGAACGGCAGATTAGATCGATGTCTGTGTGGTGAACGGCACAAACGTGACCTTATCAGTGAGAATAGTGGGTGTAAATGACCCGAAAAAAGCTGGACTGTCAGCTTGTGAGCGTGGAATTCAAACCCCTCCTCGACCAGCAGAAACCCAGACCCGATCCGATCTGAACGCTGTGGATCGGCGTGGCCCACAAATCATTATTTGCAGAATGGAAACTGCTCCGGCTCACCAGTGGCCTCTGCTGCAAACCCGATTTTTTTTCCTTTTTTCTTTTTATAGTGGTGTTGTTCTGCTCCCGGTTTTATGTAATAGCACCGGTGCAAAGCTGCCCTTGAGCGTAAACTAGCAGCCGTTTGATGTTCGGATCTGTGCGGGCAACACTGAGCATGAGTCATCCAGAAACCCCCACACACACACACACACACACACACACACACACACACACGATACTCTGAGCAGCAGCAGGAATTACAGCACAGTCATCAAAACCACACCGCTTGTTGTTTTTGTTGTTGTTGTTTAAAAAAAAACTTGTTTTCTTTTTTTAAAAGCGTCTTTTTTTATCAGCAGAACATGAGACCGTGGTACCAACGGTCATTGTCTGTCTTCCCTCAGTGAACTTATTTGTGGAATGAATTGAATGATGAATTTAAGTTATGTCCTTTCTTGGTGAACTTTAAAAGAGCTTTAAAATGTAAAATGATCAAATCTTACGCTGTTATGTAGATCTATATATGTACTTGAATCTGAATTGGAAGAAAAATCCTGGTAAGTTGTAAGGTAAAAAATAGGGTAGGCAAGAATAAGCTTTGCTTCGGCCTATTCCTTTTTTGGTAAACTGTGGGTTTGTCTATTGTTCTTTTCTTTTTTTCTTCTGTTGTTTCTTGTGTTTAATGTGGACAATTTACCAAAATAAAGTGATTGATTGATTGATTGATTTGTAATGATATTAACATCATAGGTCATAGTGATTGCGTAATGGTGCTACAAACTTTCCTGATGCTTATTAACCGACAGGAGGAAAGTTAGGAAGTGGGACAGGTGTCTGTGGAGTTAATCTGCGGCGCAGACGTGGCTTTAAGTGATTGTTGACATAATATCCTCCAGTGGCCGTGTCCTCTGGCTGCTGAGAGGCCTTCAGGGTCACACACCGAGGCTTAAGGCTTTTCTTTTGTTGTGTTTACGTTCAAACTAGTAGCCGTGTTGTCAGTGACCACTGGGACTCGATGGCCATCTCTCAAACCCGCTGACCTTTGACCTCCTCCTCCTTTAGCACAGGGCAGTTTCTAAGGGCTGCCAGTGACATCACCAATGAGGAAAAGGGTCGACTTCCGACAGCCAGAATGAGACTTTAGTCTAATTGTAAAGGTGTTATTTAGAGGCTGTAATGGCTGCAGGGATAGAGGAGTTGTATTGTTTTCGTCATCAACCCGGAATTTTGGCGTCTACCTTAACCTACTATGTGTAATAGGGATGTCCCGATCCAGCTTTTTCCACTTCCAATCCGATCCCGGCCTATCAGAGCATGTACTCAAGTTTAAAGTTATTTATCTACTCACTTAGTTGTCAGACTCATGTTGAACAGGGATTTACTCCGATAACAACTTAATGGTTAGGACACAGAGCTGTGGGCTACAGATGCTAATGCTAATTCTAATGATTGTGTGGGATCGGACTGTAAAAAAACCTGGATCTGGAGTCTGGATCTGCATTTTCTCCTGCCGGCCGATACGCAGTTTTTTGAGAATATCGGCGGCCGATCGGATCCAGATATCGGATCAGGACCAGCCTACTGCATTTAATTATTGCAGATTAACAGTCTGAGCATGTTCTCTGCATTTCTGAAAGGTTTTAGCTTCTTTGACAAAGGAGACTAATTAAATATTTGTTGAAAAGAGGATTCTTGCTGTTGCCCCTTTTAGCAACCTCTTAAGTCTATTAGGTCAGTGTTTTTCAACCACTGTGCCTCGGTACACTAGTGAGTGATGGTCAGGTGTGCCGTAGAAAATCATCCTATTTCAACTAATTGGTCTAAAAAGATTTTTGATAAGGAATTAATCATCTACAAATAATTTTTGAGTGTCTGTGCTGTTCTAGTGACTGGTGGCGTAATCATGTAATAATTCCTTATGACTAGATTTTGTATATAATTTTGTATATTGAAGTGGACATGTTAAGTGCAATTTGAAAGAAGAAATATAAAATATGATCAAAATACATTTTTGTGTTTATTTGATTCCTATTCAAGACACTTAAGATAAGAATAAGATAAGAATAACTATAGTGTTACTATAGGCAGCTACAGATTTCTTTTGACATTTTGGGTTGGTGGTGTGCTTCGTGATTTTTTCAATGAAAAAAGTTACCTTGGGTCAAAAAAGGTTGAAAAACACTGTATTAGGTTATTGGATCGGGACCGGCCTGCTATGTAATGGTGATTTTACTCCTGTACAGGCGGGGGGACCTAAGCGACCCCCGCCTGACTGTCCTTGCCTTGTAGTCCTGTTGTTTTGTGCAACGACAATAAATGAAGTCTAAGTCTCCCCGTGTTTTTTATGGCAGGTGTTCCCCTCCTCTGGGCGGCGGATGCCGAGGCCCCCCCGCCGTTAGAGCTCCCCGGGCTGGAGCGTCTGCTGACCCGCCTCCGGCCCCGGAGGCCCCCCCCCCGCCCCCCCCTCCACCACCATGGACCAGCAGCGAGACAAATACGGCGAGCGGCCGGCCAGGAGCACCAAGGTGTCCCAGGGCGGCCGCAGCGGGCACTCCTCCAGACCCTCCGGGTCCTCGGGGTCCTCCGGGGTCCTCATGGTGGGGCCCAACTTCCGCGTGGGGAAGAAGATCGGCTGCGGGAATTTTGGCGAACTGAAACTGGGTAAGAAACTTTTTTAAAATGATTAGAAGCTGAAGCCTCACAGGTTTGTTTAGTTTAGTTTAGTTTAGTTCAGTTTTATTAGGATCCCCATTAGCTGCCAAATAAATGGCCACTAGTCTTCCTGGGGTCCTCACATGAAGAAATTATATTACATTATAAACAGATCATACAAATAAAAATAAAAATCACAGTAGGAAATAATAAAAACATAAACAAGAGTAGACTATACAACATATACACACAGGTCAGTTCATGATATCATTTGCAGTAGTTCTGAAGACACAATATTTTGCAGAGAACTTTGGCGAATTGAAACTGGGTAAGAGAAGTTTTTAAATGAGCAGAAGCTGAAGCTTCACAATGTTTGTTTACGAGGCATTTTTAGAGTTTAAGTGGCCTAAAATCTCCAGAAAGCTAAGACTAATGCACCTTTACTCTCTCACCTCAGGTAAAAACCTCTACACCAATGAGTATGTAGCTATCAAATTGGTAAGTACGGACGTCTTTTCATCTCTTTTACAGTTCAGTGCTGTTGTTGATTTTCAGAATAATCGATTTAAGAAATGAATTGATGTGGGATTTGTTCAGGTTGAAAGAAAAATGCATCAGTGATATTTATGTTATTTTATGACAAAAACATAGCCAAATATTTTTAAAAAAGCCTTTTATTTTAAAAGCCTTTGTTGGAATATAAATCAGAAAATCAGAAATAATTTTCCTCTGCGATATTAAATGTATTTATTTATTTAATCAGGACAGTGCACATTAATGAACAATCTTATACTTCTGTACAGATTGTAAATGAGCCAGATTATAGCATAGTTGCTAATTTACATCTGTCTTCCAGAGGCAGGAAGACAAAACAACACAAAATCACATAATACAATATCACTCAAAACACACAGATACACGTTCAGACAATCACATCAAAACAATAAAATTACTGAGTGCATGACGGGGAACTGACGGCAGTAGTGACTAATCAGAAATCCGGACATTAGGAAGTGGGAAAAAACTGATGCCGGTCCGTGGGGGGGTGAAGCTCCAGGTATCTGTTGGGTGATACAGTTCTGCTTTTCCAGTTAAATCTGGCTGATGTGCAGATGCTCAGACGGCCTCCCGGCTCAGGCCCTTATTATTATTATTATTATTATTATTATTATTATTATTATTATTATCGCTGACTCCAGTTTCAGTTTGCATCAGCAAATAGTTTTCTGCGACTGACCTGAGCTGTTCGGCTCCTCGGTGGAAAAATGTTTTGAAATGCTCTGAATGAACTTGATTCAGTTGGGGGGTGGGCACAAAGTAGGGGTTTAATTTTGGCTTGTCCTTTAAACCATGAACCATGTTAAATTTAAACTTGAATTGTTTAAATGACACTGTTTTGGTTGTGTTCTTTGCTCAGGAACCGGTGAAGTCGAGGGCACCACAGCTGCATTTAGAGTACCGGTTCTACAAAACTCTGGGAACAACAGGTGAGGGCGCATGTCTTTTTATTTATCTCCTTTTTTTTTTTTTTAAGTCCTTGCCATGTTTACATGTGACTTCAGGAAAATGATTCCACTGTTTTGGAAGATCGGCCTAAAGATTGTATCATTTCCACAACAGGCGATTACCCGGTTCAGGTTACATGTTGACACAGGCCGGATCTGCAGCTTATTTTAATCTCCTGTGCGGTTTTAGAGGACGTGCATACGATGCTTATGAATGGAAACCCCTGCAAAATGGATATACTCAAGGTTTAATACAAAGGGTTTAAGCCATTGTCCTCATTTACCCAAAGCATATTGAGTTGATCTGACTCTGTGGGCTTCCCTCTCGGGCTTCAGGACAAATTGTCTTGACTCTGTTTCTTGACCCATTTTGAGCATTTATTACTGAGTTTGTAAGATTGGCATTTTGTTGAGTTATATTGTCTATTTTCTGTACGCGTTAAAGCATGTGTTTTTGTTTTTTTTATTGCTTTTTTTTTGTGAATAAGGCAGTGTTTTTGCTTTCTAATGCACAAGTATTCAATAGACGTCAAGACTATTTTGCTACTTAAAACATTTCCTGGTCAGAAACATCACACATGATAACTACCAATGAAAACATAGAAATGACAGGATATCGTAGAAGGCTTGTTATCTTGCTGCTGTGTCTAAATGCTGTGCTACGGAAACTGTGAGCAGAGAAAGAAGAGAATTGGAGAGCTTCTAGCATTTCATTTAGAAGAAAACTTGAGTTGACCTAAATTTGGATGCTCAGTAGGTTTGGACTAACATTGTCATTATCTGTCACTAGTGGAAGGATGATGGTAAACCACATTTATGTAGTGTGTTTTCATCTGTTCTCACAGATGAATATGGGGGCTCCTTTTATTGTGCAGTGTGGCATTCAGGGTCTGTTTACAGTGTTGCCTTCAGGGTCCGTGTGGCAAATGGGAAGCCCAACCACTTCCAAGAATTCAGGGATGTAAATGATTCATCTCAACAATTAAATTTGTATGCAAGTCTTTATTTTTTTGTTTTTTTTAGTTCTTTAGTTCCTTTTTTAAAATTTATTTTACAAATGACCCGAACTAATTGTTGATATATCTTTCAATCTATTATTTTCATTTTCTTTTTTTAAACCAAAGTCTTTAAGATATTAGCTATTGACTCTATCAAGAAGCAGCTCTAGTGTTGTCATTTTAAATGCTTCGATAATAGCTGTTAGCAATAACAGTGCAAGCAGGCTAACTTCTGCCGTCCTATTGGCTTCTCTGTTGTCTTCCACATCTCTGATTGGTGATCGGAAAGTATTCAGTTCTCAGAATCCAAGCCATACGAATAATTGTTGCTTCTCTCTCGTCTGTTAATCCTGTTCCAAGTCATGTCGGAAAAGATAAAAATGGCGTTCTGATGAATCTCTGCTGCACCCTGAGAAGATTAATCCAAAGATTAAATGACCATTAGAGAAAATGAGATTAAAAGCACATTTATAACAGGCCTGTATTTGAGGGAATGGGTGGGTCTGTTTTAAGTAATAGAATAGTTTAAAAATCTCCCATCGTGGTTATCTGTTCTTGTCATAGTGACATAGGTTAAAAACTAAGTGCTATTAATAGTATGCATCTAATCTGGAGCTGTTGGTGTCTGACAATGGTTTGTAATTGATTAACTAATGGCATCTCTGCATCCCTGCCACAGGCAGGCCTCTGGATGGCTGAGAAAATAAGAGCTGATTTTTATTGTGGCACATGATCCTTGGCCAGGTTTTTTGGAACACTACATGCAAATCCGATAACCCAACTGGGAGTTTAATGGCTATTGTTTTGCAAAGGCAAGGACTGGAAAAGGCCAACTGTGCGGAAACTCATTAAATATTTACAGAGCGGTTCTGCCTCTCTTAATACTAACCTACCTCTGTCCTTTCCTCCAGATGGGATTACGTGACCTCATTTCTTCTGGGCTGTGCGCCGGGCCACATTACTCAGCCCGCGTGATTGTCAGTCTTTGTTTGATGGAGCCTTTGTGAATTCATTTTGTGGGACCTGGATGCTCAGTCAGGTGTTTTCTGAAGCACAACCGCCTTTCCCTGGATATTAATGAGGGGGGATCACTTTAGCAACAAGTACGGTACTTGCTTTCATATCTTATTGGAGAGAAGGCAGAGTTTCAGTCCTGATATGTCTTGACAGAATCACAAATTTGTGGCTGTTTTGAGACGTTCGAAAATGAGATTTTGAAGGGAAACGCTGCTCGTAATGGAGTGGGTGAAATCCGACACCGCCGCCGTAAGCATGGCAGCTGCAGAGGAGTAAACACTTCTCAGTACGCAGTTTGTTTTAGTGAGAAAAGCAGAAAGCAGGGAGCTGAGCAGAGCGTTTGGTGAGGATGGAGACGGTAAAAAGCCTTCTGTCTGTTATCAGAAAAGCACAGTGACAGTCCAGTGGAATTCCCACCGGAACGATGTCCCCCTTCTCTTTTTGCCAAGTAGAATAAAAATGTTCAGGCGGGTGATCTCATCATAGTCGTCTTTAACTCGATCGCTTGTGTTTCAAAAGCTTCGGTTTACGGTGTAATGAACTCTGTCGGAGAATAAGAGGGAGACCATGTGCAGACGTGTGAATCGTGCTGTTAACGAGGCTAACGCCAGCACCACCATCCCTCCAACGGGGAATTTGGTGCTTAAACCGGTCCCGTTTTGTGGCTGTTAACAAGCCTGTGTTGGCGTGTACCGGGCTCTGTGCTGAAAACGGGCCGGGGCTTGTTCTTTTCCATGTTTTTTTACCCAAAAATAATCAAATCGGAAATGGTTCCGGCACCTGAAACTGAGAAATCAAACGGAAAAAATTGGAAATGGGGCCAAGTGTAGAAGCAATGTTTTTTTTAGTTCAAACAGAAGTGGTTCTTAGACTGATCGGTTACCCTCATTTGTAGATGGCTCTTTGGTTGTGTTTCAAGGAACGTTAACCCCTTTAGGTGTGAGCTGATTCATTGATGCTAACATGACCCCTCAGCTTCCTCCAGGCTTCTGTAAGACGGAGTAAATCAATAGGCTGATCACCTGTCAGCTTATCGACTGGCAGGGACCTGAGATCACAATGACACAAACCACTTTATATGCTTTTACTTATTTATTTTCATCCTGTTACATTTCCATGAATCAAATGGATCCTCATGACTGCTGCAAAGTGGATTCGACCCAATAACAGGCTGGCAGCCATCAGTTGGGGATAAAACATTTGGGGAAATCTGTGCAGTGTAGCCAACTTTATTATTGTTTAAGGGTTTTCACATATGGCAAATAGCCCTAACCCTAACCCTCCCCCAATTATTAATCACCACTGACTTTCAGAAGCTGCTGTACATAAAGAAGAAAGATGTAAAAATCTGAGGAATCAGCCTGGAGTTAGAAAGAGATAGAAAGAAGATGAGAGAAAGCCAGGAGAATTCATGTTTCCTCCAGTCCACAAGATCATTTAAATTTAAACCATCCTTTTTTTCCCCCCCATTGGACTGTTTATTTGTGTATTTACAGAAAATCTCCCGTCTGAGACATTTTGGGCCTCCCACAGTCACCTGGGCTTTCCAGGCTCTCATTCCTGTGGTACAATTAGCAGCCCACAGGACTCTGTAACGGTGTCCAGAAACACAGGATGGAGCACAGCACGACTCCTCCATCCTCATATGTCTCACGCTGGATTCTGCTCCTTATTAAGCTGCCACTTCAAATGCCTGCCGCACATCCCTTTAAAGAAATCTGATATTAAGAACCAACTCGTGTAAATGACTCGTGTATGGGACTGAGAGAAAGTGACTACGATACTGTTCTATTACCAGATATTAGCAGCTAAAACAGATATGTGTACAATGTCCTGGTATTTGCTGGTTGGAAAGCGGTTAGAAGGAAACGGCTGGCAAATAAGGCTCCTACAAACGAGGACTTTACCAAAAACGGATCATTTTGTTCTCTACAGTGGAGATGCTAACTTGAATTTTTAAGGCTTGAACAAAGAAAACAATCGGTGACTGCAGAGAGTTTAAGTCCTATTGTAACAAGGTGACTTTTTCTTTTGCATTTACTTTTGTAACATTTACATTCTTGCTTATTTCTATTTTCTATCTTCTCTTTTGTCATTTGACGTGACGACGAAGCTGGACATGGTAACAAAATAACCTGCGACATGTGTAAACTATTTTATTTAATTCATATTGATATGATTTCTGTAACAAAAAAGAAATGATGGCACGTCCATGCTTTTATATTGGAGAAGAAATTCCTATACGTTAACAGTATGCAATAACTACAGATTCCACCTGCATGTGCATGTTTATCCATAAACAAGTAGTAAATCCACCTTCTTAAAGTACGTTCTTTTGTTTGAAACCTACTTGATCCTCTCTGTGGATACTCAGGTTTAACTAATGTTTTTTACTTATCTCCTGACCGAGCGGCCAAAGGACAGACTGTACGATGGAAACTTGCTTTGAAGTTTCTTGGGCCGGACTTTTTAATAAGACCCTGACAAGTGGTTTAAAAAAAAAAAAACTTGGAGTCATGCTTCCTTGATGCCAGTTAACAGCCTGACCTGATTTCCTGTTCTTTGAAACTGAAGTCCAGGTCGGGATGACAGCCGAGTATTGATGCCTCCATTTACCAAACCATGATGATGTGCGCATGCATCATACTTTAAACGATGCACAATGTTTGTCCTCCATCGGAAGACTTTTCATGAGTAATACCGGCAGGAAAACATTCTCAGTGCATTTTAAAGAGGACATATAATGCTAACCCAAGTTTTTAATCATGTGATTGTGTACATTTGGGACTGTGGAGGGCCTATCAGCAGGCAAAGTGTGAAAAAAATGACTCAGTCATGTTTTTGTGGGCTGTCTCAGTCTGAATCCAGGAGATAAATCAGGAGGTTTCAGGAGTGGGTAGTTTCTGACGTCATTAGCTCTAGCTCATTATAATATT